AAGATGTTACCTAGCCGGGTAATGAAACGTTTGCAAGAAAAGAACCGAGCTCAGAGAACCCGAAGGACTCCACAGTTCAATCCTGAGCTACACATATTCGCCTCCATTGGTGACCAATGGTGACCATTGCTAAGGTCACCACTGGTAAATCGGACAAAGCTGATAAAAGGCACTCCATATCACCGAGGCCAACTGGGGTTCTAGTGACAGTGATGGATCTAAGAACATCCCCAAACTGTGAGCCAACTCCTTTAGGATAAGTGCAGGCTCCTCCAGGACAGGCAGGGCACCACTCAGCTGGACAGATGTACCACTGACAGTGTATCCCTCTTGTCTGGATTGAGTCTCAGTTTATTGGCCCTCATCCAGTCCATTACCCTGCCCAAGCGCTGGTGCAGGGAGGTAGAGCTAGGTATCATTTGCATATTGATGGCACCTCAGCCCACATCCCTAGGTGATCTCTCCCAGCAGTTTCATGTAGATGTTAAAGGGGTTCAAAAGGAGCCCTGAGATACTTCACCACCCAACCACCATGAGGCAGAAGACCAATCCCCCAGCACCTCCAGCCATCCAAGGAGGAGTGGTACCACATCCCAATCTGACAGCCTGCCCAGAAGGATACCGTGGCTGATGTTATCAAAAGCTGCAGAAAGGTCCAGGAGGACCATCAGGGTTGAAATCCCCCTGTCTTTTCCCCCACACAAGTGACCAAAGTAGTTTCTGTTCCATAGGCAGGCCTCAAACCAGGTGGAAATTGGAGCTAGAAAATCAGTTTCATCCAAGAAAGGTTGGCTAAATTTAGGGTGAATGTTTACTAACCCTTTTCTCTGATATTTAATCTATATATATGAAATTCTTTAAAAATAAATCAATAAACAAACAAACATGTTGGCCATCTTCAATTCTGCAATCTCCCATCTGAAGAGTTACATCCAGGAACATTAAACTCCACGGTGTGCCATTTATACAGACTATCTGCCCAATGTCAGTTCTGCTATAAATTATTTAAATGTTTAAAAGCTGCCCATCATCAAAGCAAGGTGCTCAAAATGTGTTTACCTCTTAATTTCTTTTGGGGAACTGACTGGCAGGCCTAAATTATGCACCAGCTGTGAATCCTTCTGTCTGATGTCTGAAATGCACGGGCTCCGTTCAGCTGATAATGGCTGATTCCACTGCACATCTGAAGGAGAGCATTTCAAGTTAGGAAACAAGATCCACAAAGCTGTTCAAAAGAAAACATTTCTGAACGCTACATAGTTACATGGGAGGAGGAAGAGGAGAAGAAGACAACCGAGGTGGCTTTTTCAGGTTGTACAGAATTGAACCGTTTTGGCTTTCAAGGGTGGAAATAGACTTATAGCTAAGACCAAGCTGAGAATTTTCAGGTAGAAACTGGGGGCAAGGATGAAAGATGGAATATACAGTAGATGAGGAAATGAATAAAAAGGAAATGGGATTGTCTGCTCTCACAGACAATTGGAGATATTGGAGTTCTTCTCATGACACTACCGTAACATAAGAAACCCCCCCCCCCAACTCTTCCTCAACAGCTCAGACACGCTTTCTTAAATAAGTTCCAGGGGATTTGGAAGAACCATGATGAGTAGAATGAAGAGGAAGCATGTTAATAGGGCAATGAGAGTTTTGCAAGTCTTTATTTTTATGGTGGTGGTCGGCCTTAAAATTATCATTAATTATTAAACTTCTTTGCCACCTGACTCTCAACAATCTTCTAATGCACACTGCTTGTTTTCAGAGGACTAATAGCGACATACAGACTCTGGGTGTTTGACAGAAGCAAGCTTGTATCACTGTAAGCAAGCCAGTATCGCCTAATTTATGTGAAAGGCACGTGAGTTTTTTTCCCTGAACAAAATAGGAGTTCCTCCCAGATTTGAAAAGGCAGCAGGTCCTCGTACATTTACAAAATGGAGACAGATGCTACTGACAGGGAGAAGCCACGTCTGCTCCCCGAGAATGAGAACTCCAGAAAAATGGATGTGCAGATGATGGATGAAGAGCCTCCTCTACACGTTCTCCTGAATGCACCCTTGACACGTGGAGGCATCTCACCTCTTTCTTTCATGTCTGTCTGTCTTTCCAAATTACCTCTTCCCCATATCTCATTTCCATCCAGTCTCCCACTTTCTCCTGCCCTCCCTTCTTGGTGGACAGGAGAACCCTTTTCCTTATCCCATGTCCATCCTGGGTTGTTCTTTTTCTTTTTTGGAGTTTCTGGTAGAAGGAAGGAGGGAAATGTGGGTGGAGTTGGATGTATGAGAGACAGCCTGTCTGTATGGGAAAGAATAGTTTGTGTGTGTATGTGTGTGTGTTCATGGGGACACATTGATTTTATTATGGAGTTCCCTACTTTATTGAGATATAAAACAATATAGTAATATGTCACACACATACACTTTTTGGAGGGAAGAGGGGAAAACTTCAGGTTGGTTAAAGTTAAGAGTTAATAACCCTTGGTTGACAAGAAGCTGGGCACTGGTAAGATTTTTATCTCAGTTTGCAACTTTTCCTGTCTATCTTCTCTTTCTTTTGGGGTGGGGTTATCTTAAATTTAGGATCATCTTACTTGTGGATACATGGAGTGTATGAGAAAATGATCCTATGTCAAGGATGTCCATGAAATCACTCAGAGGGTAATAATCTATTATGAAAACACTGTAAAATCATGACAAGCAATTATTTATGAACAGTTTGAACATTTATCTAGGCAGACCTGCCTCCTTGCAAGACTGTAGCAATGCCTTAGTAGAAGGTGAAGTGATGCAGGAAAATGTGCATGGAAAGAATACCAACCACGCAACGTTGGAAAGAGAGACATCTGGGGGGAAGACAAAGAGGACCTCATCTCCTAGTCAAATTACTTGGGATCATATAACTTTACATTAACTTTCGAAATGCCCCTGAACTATGGAATGTTTTTAAAATGCTGGTTGAGATTTTGCAAATATAGATAATGTTGAATTAAAATCTTTGTATTCCATATGCAATACTGATCTGTGGCAGAGAATTCTGAAGATAAACTTATTCATAGAGCTAGAAATGCTCCACAAATCAATGTATTCCAAAGGGTTGGATTGTTGTCGATGTTACTTTACTGAAGATAAATGATTACCAGAAGTACCACCACCATAATAACAGTCAACTCCATCGGCACTTTAAAAGCTAACCAAAGCTCTGTAGTGCAAGGCTTTCAAATCTGTCACAGAAGTCAGAGGTGCAAATAATTATGAAAAGCAACAAGCAAAGGCTGGATGTGAGCGTGTTTCAGATATTCAATTTACCTTTGGCATTTCAATTTTAGTATGCATTTTAAAGCTATATAAATAGGTTCGATTTGGTACAAGTACCTTCTCATTGTAACCAGGTATATATAATACCAGCGAGGAGAAAGCAAGGTAAGCAATTCAAAAGACAGTCACATTTTGACTTTTGCAAGTTTTTCTAAAGCAAAGACATACCTGGACATATCGGCAAAGCCATTTTGCTGGGTGATCTGCCTTCTGGGGTGGAAACTTGCTCCCTTTGTCTCCAATTCACTGTTTCCAGATATTCTTCCTTATTCACCGTGCTGAAAAGCAGAAAATACATTTCACCAAAGTTGCAACTGGCAGGTATCTGAGGCAGCTTCAACGCTACCAAATGTTTCCAAAGCTGAACGTGGTAGGTGGTAATATCAGCCTATTCTTCTAATTCAGCAAGTAACAGTTTACAAACCTGGCATATTAGGTAGGCCTACACCCCACAGACAATGAACGACTAAAATAATTTTTAATAGCAAGTGGAAGATTAGATTCCTGCTGCTCTAAATGGGAGATAAGAACTGGAACCATAGCAATAAGTGCAGCACCTAAGCGGCTGGCTTCTTCGGTGAATACAGAAGTGTTTGTCTATCCCTAAAACCACGTATTCGGTCAGCTCTATGCTGACCATCACTAGCAACCCTGAAACACAGGTCTCTGCCAGTGCCTTTAGAAAATGAAGACACACATTTATAATAGCACAAGCACACAGAATAATTCACAGATGAACTAATGAAACACTTTTGCTGCTTCTCAGTGGAAATTTTATTAACCTGATATCCAGTGTGGGGCAGCTGGTTCATACATGAAAGTATGAGTAATGAGGATGATTGTCTCCTCAGTGATGCAAGAAGAATTGGAAACACAAATATCTTATACTTCTTGTTTCTGCATTTCTCCATCTTATTCCAAACCAAATGTCTGCATCTCTCCTGATAGCTGTTTTTTGCTCTTACATTTTTCTCAAATATGTTCCTTATGAAATATTTTTTTCTTTTACGCACCTCGCGTTCTCCTCTCGTGCTTCATATTCCTTATCTTTTGAAAAGGACATGCCATCTTGTTCATAAAATAATGCTTTCAGTTTTATATCTTCATTTCGCTTATTCTCCTCTTCAGAGTTACTCATATCTCCCACATTCTACCACAAAAGAGACAGACACAGATCTTGTCTTATCCAGAACACTTTACACGAAACAGGTTTACTCTTGAGATCACATGGAAGATCAAAGGCAAAATACGTTCAGTCCTGCCTTACATCAGACCACAGTTTGACCTTCCAATGCATTAAGAGAAACTACCACAACACAACCTTGATGTGATGGAGGACTTGGATGAGGAGGTTCAAGGTCATGGGGAGAAGCATCTCCTCAGCCCACAGCCTGAGGGTGTGAAAGCAAAGAGGATGGGACTGGCACCACCCTAAGGAATTCGTAGTGTTTAGTTGTGGACTTTGGGAGTTAGAGTTAGTCTGGTGAGATTCTGTCTAGCAGGTGCAAGCTAATAAAGTAACTGAGCAATTCCAGAACCATCCCGTGGAGTTTCTTGGGCTGAACCTGACGCTTAGGTACTGCACTGACCACTGTTTGGAAAGCTACTTTATATTACAATTTCTGATTCTGGTTCATCAACTGCAACACTGGGCTAAAGCCACACAGGCAGGAGCAAGTGATGAGATGTGTGTTGCAATGTCACCACAAACTCCACTGCTTACGTACTTACACGCAACACTGCAAAGAAAGTGTGAAAGGACAGAGGTTGCTTTCTGATACAACAAAGGACGTTTCACCAGTCTGGTGATGAACGGTGATTCATCACCATTCCTGTGATAAGGAACATTTCTGCTACCGAGAAAATGTTGATCCTTTGGCAAACAAAGCAGCTGGGTACTGACGCTAAGAAAAGGAGAGAAATAACACCCTCTTGGGCCCTGATGAAAGGAGAGTCTGCAGGAAGTTGGAAAAACTCAAGGGAAGCAAGAAGAAGGTTTTAGCTTCAGGCATTAGGCCATCCTAAGAAATAGGTAACAAGCCCAGCTAGGAATGATGCATTATATTTAATTTTTGTTACTGTCTCTGGCATTTATTTTCTCTGCACAGCCTGACTAACTGTGCAATTTATGTCATTTGGAATTCCTTTACCACAGAGGTTCCTCTAATTAGGAACAGACTAGCATAATCTTATATTTTCTCTGGTATTTTTCTGCTGGAAGTTGTCTTACGATGCTACCTATGATTTGAAAAGCTCTCCTTCATTGGGGAATGTTTTTGCAAGTGACTATTTAAAGCTGGAAAGGGATATTTACTGAGTCAGGGAGATGACTGTGTGGGAAACAGGCAAGAACTGTTACAGGAGCCAAGAGGACTAAAGCATTCCTTAAGTCCCAGAAGTAAGAGAGCATTGGGAAGAGACTCAGACAGGCTCCTCCATGATTCACTGGGATATAACAGGAAGGGAAGGGAAGGGAAGGGAAGGGAAGGGAAGGCACAATCAGGCAAGATTGTGTTACTGCAGCCTATCTCAATAGAGTTCTAGTCTTCTTGAGGAGTCAGTTTCCTGATCTATTCTACCTCAGAGGGCTGACATCAGGAGGTTTGAGACCTCTAACCTTTCACTCAGTGGGCTTACCCCATGCTGCTACAAGAGCTAAGCTTTTAAAACCATGACTTAGTATCCTATCTATCTATGAATTCAGTCTCAACTATCATCTTATTAACCAATCAGCACTTTAAAGCTATGTGAAGTCTAAATCAGCCAGTAATACAGAGTTCTTTAATGCAAAGCAAGAGATTGGATCCACAGTTCAAACATAGGTCCTAATTCTCCTGCACTTCCCAACAACCAATTCCAGAAGTTAGGGAAGGGTTGTAAAGCTGAGGTGGTTGAAGATTTGAAAAAATAATTTTAAAAACTCCCCTGCTAGAAAGATTATATCAGACAAGAATTGTCAGGAACAGCCAGGTGGTATTTTAATTAAATTCTGTTTTTGAGAAGAAACAGAATATTGTTTAATTTTTCTTCAAGACTAGGTTAAAAAATATTCTATCACGTTTTTGCCTTAAAAACTTATTTTTTGCCATCTCTAGTTTCAGCCGAAATTTTACTAGCAAACACACCATAGTCCTGTTTCCATCGGTCACAGAAGACGACATAGACAAGGGTTCTGCAGAGCTTGAAGTAAGCATGAATGGAACCACGGTATCTTCAATGATCTTGCGTTCCTAAAGAAGAACAGATCATCAAAATCATGCATTAAGAGTCCTCTGAAAGTGAAAGACAAAGCTAGGCTTATAAACAAAGCCAAGAATACATCATTCAAATGTGTTCCGACAACATTCTACAAAATAGGTTGAAAAAAAGGGGAGAAAAATTAAAATAGTTTTGAGAATAAAATTACACAAGGAAGGAGGAGTAAGAAGAAAAAGATGTGATGTTGTATAGAGTTGTATAGAGTTCCTAGTTCATTTGTTTGTGATCTATCTTGCCAACTATCTATTTGACCCTTCTAGCTCCCTAGCTTCTAAGCTATGCTATCTACACAGTTGCCTTTTCATAGTCTGTATGATCATAATTTGATTTAATAAACCAAGAGATGCATAAACCTTCTGTGGTATGCCTGCATCCCCTTCATGGTAGGAACAAATTATGAATTTTTCCATTAACTTTAATTTTTCGTTTTGTCCAGGAATATATGCCTGCGCACAGTATGGAACTGATTCAGAAGAACTAGTTCATATCTCACACAAGCATAATGCCTCTCTCTTATTCAGTGAAGCAGCATGCTCATTTTCAGACTTCTCACAAGGCTAAAAAAAGAGAGAGAGAGAGAGAGAAGCTGCTGCTTTAAGAATTATATGCAATTTCATGAGTTGACTCATTAAAGCACCCACATCTTTTTTTTCAGGCTTGCACAGCAACCTAAAGAAATGCTGGGCTGTTTTAATGAATGGCAGAGAGGCACCAGGCTTGTACAAGGGCCAAAACACGTCTTTCAAATTGTTTTCAAAGTTTGCACAGTCCTATGAGAAACATAGACTGGAATAAGCCGAGGCACTGGTCAATTTCAACCATGTTGTTCTAGGGCTGTACTAGTTCTTTTAGTTTGGTGAGGGGGATAGCATGAAATGAGAAAAAGACCTCAATGGGAAGCTTCTTGGTTGGCTGGCTCACTTGTGCAAAGGGCTGAATGAGGGGCTGTGCAGGTGCCAAAACGTTTTGTTCAAATAATGGCTTATTGAGCTGAAAGAAAACCAACTAGATGTGCCTACTCAGCCTGAGGCACATCACCACCTCTCCACAATCACACTTCTGCCTTCATACCTCTTCATAGTATTTACGCTCCTCCTCTTCCACTTCTCTTTGTGCTTTTTCCCATTCTTTTTTCAACTTCTCCTGCTCTTTCTGATACCTTTCCTAGAGAGAGTCGCAATACAAGTGGTTAAGCAGGAATCATGACAAAAGGGGAGGAATTGGTTTCTCAGCTGGATCTACGGAAGAGCTCCTAGCAAGGATTTCTTCTTAAACCTTCTTCATTAGGGACCTTCATTAGCATTAGATTACATGGTTTAATTCAGCAGGATTAATCCAGCCAGTACATAAATAATGCACTCTCCTACTACAGTTAGTAGGCCAATCTGGATTGGGGTCACCAAACATAGAAGTAAATCTAATCTTTTCCCAAGCAACTCCTTCTTGAGCAGATGCAAATGGAAAGTGAACTAACTGAGGGGTTTTTTCCCCCCTTAAATCCAACACCCACATGGAAGAGGGATTTTTTTTCTTTTAAAGGAGTAAGGAGAATATTAGCATCCCAAACTCTTTTCAATTAGTATCTTGTTTGAGGATGAATTGGCACCTATCCCTTGTGAAAACAAGCATATGAAAGATTCATTTTTCCAGCTGCTGCTTTTAAATGCTGGGGAAGGTGGGGGCAAACTTTCCATCTGAATGTTTGGGAACCACCAGTCTAAGGGTGAACCGTATCATACCTGTATCAACTACAACATTCTCAGACGTAAAGTAGCAAGCAGGCAAGGAAAGTAGGAAAGGTAAACAATATTTAGATAAACAGGATTTGCACTCATTTTTGTTATAAGTCCATCTTAATTTAACTGAGCTTCATACATATATTAGTTCCAGTAATTAGGATAAACTGCTAATTTTATCCTAATAATTAGGATAAACTGCTACCAGTAAAAGAAAGCCAATTTGGTGCAGCGGTTAAATGCACCAGGCTAGAAACTGGAAGACTGTAAGTTCTAGTCCTGCCTTAGGCAAGAATTCCGGCTGAGTGACTCTGGGCCAGTCCCTCTCTTCCAGCTCTAAGGCCATGGCAAATAACTTCCGAAAATCTTGCCAAGAGAACTGCAGGGGCTTACCCATGTAGTTGCCAAGAGTCAAGACTGACTTGAAGGCACAAATCTCTCTCTCTCCTACCTACCTCCCTACCTTTAAAATATAAATGAGAGACATAAACTTTGTGTGCTCATGAGATGAACAGCAATGGATATAAGCAGAGAGGATACAAGCAAGCGTAACAGTCAATTGTTCTACAACAGTATTCCCAATCTCCAGACATGTTGGCTGGAAATTATGGGAACTGAAATCCAACACATCTGGAAGGACCAGGTTGGAAAGGTTGTTCTGAAGTGACTAAGCAAGGTGTTGGATAGGGGTAGATAAAGCAATCTATTGATTTTACACTTGGCCAAATTAATTCCTGGATCAGAAACCAATCAAAAATTAGCTTTATAATTTAATTCTATCAATCACCTTTGGTTAACTTCATTCATATTTTGTATATCCTTATGCTAGATTAGAAGTCTCAGTGTGAATACAGAGATAACCTCCTATACATAAACTTGAGCTTCTTGGAAGAACAACATAAAAATGTGAGAAGTAACTAAAAATGGGTCTACCTGAAGTAAGCGTTCCTGCTCCTGCTGCCACCGTTCCTGGCGCTTACGCTCTTCTTCTGGATCCCAGGACCAGCAACCCAAACGCTTAAATAAGTTGATCAAATATACAGTTAGAAGCGAGGAATAAACATTTGGGCATGTTTTACCCAAAATCCTTCCAACTCATCTCTAGGTAGGGTTGCAAGCACTTCCTTGGTTGACCCTTCTCTTGGACAATCACATTTTGTAGGTGTAGCTGTAGTAAGGAGAACCCTTATGATTATCCAGTCCCTACTAAATTGCCTGAATATAGGCCATGACGCTAAACATTGCAGCATCTAGCTAGAATGAGATCAGGATTAATTTTCTTACCATTAGTTTACTAAGGTGATTAAAAATACATTATACTAAACTTTGCATAATTCCAAAGCTGCATTTACCCTAAGAATTATTTCAAGTTCCTAAATTCAGGAAAATTTAGGGACAAAGAATCCTACTTAGGTTGTTGGGAGCTTCCTTCCATCCTTCCATTCACTAAATATCTCCTTCAGAAGAGGCATTAACTTCTGGAGTCTGTCAGAGTTTGTACCAAGAATACATGAAGGAAAGGGTCTGCCTATCTGAACCCTACATTCTTCTTCTGAGGTCCTCCTGGGCTGAAGTCAGGAAGATGGTTGCCTGAAAACCACCATAATTCCCTCTTTAGTGAAGTATATCGGCTGTCTATTTTATTGCCTTTTTAAAGGACTTTTTAGTGTCAAGCAAAGACATTTTTATTTTCCCAAGCTACTGAACATACTAATATTTTAATCATTCTGTTATGTTGCAACAAAGCCTTCCAATTAATTAATTTCATTCTTGCTTTTTTAATTGTTGCTGCTTTTTATTTGTTGCAGTTTAGAAATGGTTACTGTTTGTACTTTGGTTAATATTTTTAACTTTGATTTTTACATCGCTGTTTAAACTGCTTAAAAGTCGCCTGAAGCAAAACATACATCTGAAACGAACTAAACTAAATGTTAATGGTTTCCAATTTCTCCTTAAATGTGTTCCCAATAATTGTGAGCTTCGCCAGCTAAAACTGTTCTGATTTTTTCTGAATCCAGCAAATACAAAGATGCATCTAATATCATTTGTAAGTTGACTCTTAGCGAAAAATGAACAGCTAATTTTACATGACAGCTGCAGAAGGCAGTGTTTTTTTTTCTAAGGAGGTAAGACTTGAGCTGACATTGCAAAGTTATCAATTCTAAATATGAAAATGAGATCAGATTAAAAATAACTACTTATAGCAGGTAGTAGTCAGCATAATAAATAATTTGTGGCCAAATCTTGAAAGAAATACAGTCACTAAATCCCACAAGATATGACATTTCTCCATACGAGAAAAGTTTCATTCTTCTACGGAGGAGATATTTATTCTTTGTCCTCCTTTGCAGCATGAATGGACCACATTACACTTGTCTTTCATTTCTGGGTTGCCAAGTAGAGGGAGACCAGATGATACACTTGGATGGAGAACCATATTAGGTTCTCCTTGAAGGCCTCCAGTGATGGAACTACAGCTTTTAGCCACAAGGTCAAAGCATAATTAACATCGTTCCATTCCTTCTCGTGCCAACTACTGCTGTTTCCTATCCCTCACGTATTTGCACTAACTATGATATGTACTGTATTAAAAGTGGTATGGGAGCAACCACAGAGGATGGCACCCATGACAGTAGTCTAATTAACAGGGCCTCCATTCAAAGTAACCACAGGTTCTGTCCTGATCAAACATAGGATACTTGATAAAAAATAAATTACTTAAACATCTGTCAGTGAAAATCTTCAAATGCTGCTCAATGGACCCTGAGCAGCTTAAGAACGTTCAAGAATTCAAATAAGAGCAACTTACGTTTGATGTGTCACTGTTATCAGTGGTGGCTGCAGAAAAACAACCAAAATTAAACTTTCAAAAATGTTAAGTTCAACAGGTGTGCTTATTTTACTTATTTTTGCAGTTTCACATCGCTCTCTGTAATCCTCAAAGGGTTTCCAAAACAACTAATAATTTGAAACTACAAAGACAGTAATATTCACGGTTAAAAATAAGCCTTGTCTAGAAACACCAGTAAAGTCTCGTCTGCTCTATTTGTCATTGTCTGCATGCTTGAAGAAGACAACAGCCATAGAAAGGAGCAGGAATAGGACAGGTACTTTGCAGGATTCATCACTGGTGGTGTTTGGGCTTCAGCAGATGCCACTAATGGATGCTGGCACTGACAAACATGACATAATTTATGGTTTTTCAGGACTGTTTTGTTCATTCCTAGCTATGAAATCTACATTTATTACCTTGTATGGGAGTGTCCTGCAAAACTCCTTGGCTTGTCTCAGGAAGCTTCTTCAGAAGAGAAAAGATTAGGCCTTCACCTTGTTTCGGAGCCTCCAAGGTATCTACCTGGATCGATTTGTAAAGAACATAATCAGCACAATCAAGAAAAAAACACAGTATCACCCCTTTGAGGTTGTCCAGACCAGGAAATAGAAGACTAGAACTAAACTTTATCAAGATCGGCTATATTAACTGAATTTTGCAAGCCTGACTGTGTTTGTCGTCCCTTCCTTCTTATGCCCCAGTGAGTCAGGGAGAAGCCAGCCTGAGTCTCTTCCTAATACTATCTCCTTATCCAGGACTAAGGACTAGTATTTCTCTTTTCCCAGGGCTCAAGGAATGCTTCTGCTGTTTATGTTTCTGTAATGGCTTCTGAATATTTCCCTCAAGGCCATCTCCACGGCTCTCTACAACAGAATAGATCGGTATTTTCATTTTCAATCATCTCAGGAATATTCACTGAATGGATTGATGGTTAGAAAAGCAGCTTTTTGGTCTGGACTAAGCACTTTGTAGGTTTACTTATTTATTTGTTAAAGAAGTCACACTTTGCTTTTACTATCCAAAAGGGAGGATCGAAGTGACAAGAAACTTGGTCTTGAAAACTGAAAGGCAAAATAGCTCTTCTGAATGTGATTGTTTCTGAACAGGATATATTGAGTGCCTTGAAAAACAAGCCTACTTTACATTGGGTACCACTCACTATAAATTGTCTTTATTGCTTTCTACTCTTGTGTCAACCTTCTTCCTGTCCAGTTGTTTGTCAAGACTGAAGATATCTTACATACAAAATATTTATTCGATTGATCCATATACTAGACTGCCTTGTAAGTTACAACTGAGCACATAGAGCTTCTGGTCTTTGGCTTGAAGATCTCTCTCTTTCTCTCTCTCTCTTTGCGAAAAATCCACACTTCCCTTTGGAAAGAATAACATTTCACTTTGTTCTCAGATATACATTTTAGGTTACCTTTTGGCTAACCAAGGCTTCTGCACCATTCTGTTCTCCTCTTTCACGTTTTTTTGGCTCATGAGTTAAAGTCAGCTCATTATTTGACTCTGTTTCGTTGGAACGATTGCTGGGGGAAGATATTTCCACATTAGCCACCGTGGGGTTGGCACAGGAAAACATTGTGCTAGATTCTGTGTGGTCTGGAGCTAATCCATAAGAAAGAAAAAACATAAAAATTAAACCTTGCATTTTGGCCAAAAAAAAAAAAAAAAGAAACTCTATATTGTTTCATAGTTTGATCTAAAGAAGACAAAGAAGTCAATATGGATTATATTCACTTTTTTATAGACAGCTGCAAACAGCAGATGCTAACACAAATAAACAGGGCTGCAACTTTTAGTGCATCAGTTAATATATGTCAGCCCGGTCAGGTAGACCAGACTAAGAAACCCATGCCATATAGCGAGGGCTACTTTTATTGTAATAGCTATAGAAACAGAACCCTGCAAGTCTGAATGTGCTTCCCCCTCCCTCACTTCATCTTCATGTAAACTGAGGAGGACCTTATCTGAGACATTTGCTCAAACTACTTTCTTGGAATGGGTTCAATCCCTTCTTATCTGACCGTTGGCTTGGTAGTGGCTCTTCCTTCTGCCCTTCAAGGACATTCCTTATACCCTCTATAATACCATTTCACTGATTACATAAATTTTCCCCCATTATTAATTTATTATTATTTGATATAAAATGTTAGATTATTTTCACATAGAAAAGACTCTCAAATCATTCTCAATCATTTGTGACTTCATGCCCATATTTGTACAGTTTTCATGGCATCAATACAGAAGTGGTTTGCCACTGCGTTCTTCAATCTTCAACTTTCAGTAACTAATTTTAAAAACTGCACAAGCAAAGTCAATGGGGAAGCCAGCAGGAAGTTGGAAGTTGCAGTCATGTGAGGTCCTCACTTAACAACCCACAGCGATTCACTTAACAATGATAACTGGGGACTGTCAGAACTACTGTCGTTAAGCAACACAGTCATGTGACGTTGTGCTTTATGACTGCATCCCTTAGTGATGGAAATTTCAGTCCCAATTACCGTTGTTAAGTGAGTACTACCTGTAATTACTAAAAATAGAAGAAAAAGAAAAGAAGAGAAAAAAACCCTAAAAACAATACAGATAAATATTTAATTTCTGACTTCTCCCTTCTTTGTTCTCCAACCAATTTACAGTATCTGTTGGTGTAAGTTTTAGAAACCATGCTCTAAGTGCCTGTATTTACCTTGCTGCGTAATGTGTCATATTCTGTATATGGAAGCCATTCTTGCTTGGAAGGGTTTTACTGTGGTTTTTACTTGCTGGCTTCCAATTTGCTTTTTCTTCTTTTTGTTTTTTCAGCTGCTCAATAATTGTAATGAAGTGCTATACTCCTATTCCTACTAACTACGACTACTACTTCTATTTGATATGGAGAAAAGAATTTCTTTAATTTCCTTGGCATGAGTGAGAAGTAAGTTCAGGACAGCCTGAGCAGAGAGGAGCATATCCCAACCTTGTTTGGGCTTAGGAGCCTAATCAATAATTGAATGAGAGACTTCCATGAAATGCCAGCATGTAAAACACATCCAGGAAAAGTCAATGGTAAATCACTTCCGCATCGTTCCAAGAAAGCTTCATGAATATATCACTGCAGGATGCCAGCTGGACTTTACCTCTAGGGATTCCAGCCTGATCCTAGCAAGATGTTGCACAGAATCTGGGATTCTGCATCCCCTACCTGCCAGTTGAAATGAAAATACAGAATTGCTCGTTGTTCTTTAAAAATGCCTGTTGAAAAAGCCTACCCAGAAATGTTTCTTCAGAATCAGCTTTATCTTTTTGGATGGCTTGTTCAGCTTCTTCGGTGAAGGAGCCCTGCAGAAAACATTTAATTGATGGTTAAAGCAGAAGCCGAAGAAATAATAATTAATTATATTTATATCCTGCCACTATCAAATGACTCTCCACAGTTTGAATATTCTTTTAGGATTCAGTAACTTGGCTGTTATAGCACTTCTTAAAAAACAACAACTATTTGTGGTAAATGAAAACCATAGCAAATGTTTAAAGGGGTGCTTTGTTAAGCCAAATGGGTATAAAAGTAGTAAATATATCATGTCCAAGACTAGTTTTTGTTTCCCTGGCTACAAATGCCAATTCCCATTCTGGCATTAAACTCGCCACCGGACCAAGCATTTGCAACAGGTGGCAGCAGCTGACCCACCTTGTCTGGATGCTGGCGTTAAGTCAGGCCTGCTCAGTACTTGGATGGGAGACTGCCCGATCCATATAGCGATAGGTTAGACTTGGAAATCAAAAACAGACCCCAGAAGAAGGCAGTGATAAACCCCTTCCATACGGCTGCTGAGAAAACTGCAGGGATGTGTCCATTAAGTCAATGATCTTGAGTTGAAAAAGACTATTACCTTTCATGTAGTAATTGCAGTAAAATTCCTTTGGTGATTTACAGCGATGACCTACAAAAGAAGGTGTCAAAAAGCAAAACACCAATGGAGATTTTGTATTATGTTAAACACAGACCTTTTTGGGGAGCCAAGTCTTCACACAACCAAGGTTATACAAGGGGCGGACAAAAGGGTTACTGCTCCTTTCTACGCCCATCACAAATGTCCTGCTTCTCTCAGAATCACCCTGCCGGGAACTTCCGTTCACCCTCCAACTTCACTTTAGGCCAAACTTGGTGGTAAGTTGAGAATCATGGGCACCCCAATGCTAAAAAATAATTCCGGTGCTTTTTCCAGGACTGTTTGAGCCTTTTAACGTTCTGTCCAGGTCGAAGCTCCAAGACTGTTACAGAAGTTTCCTTTAAGCCAAACGTAGGGTTATTCTGGAGCAAGGTAGAAAATGGACTTTTTAGGAAAGAGCTAAAAAAGCAATTGTAATCTTTCAGGGGTATCTGCAGGATACGATAGAAAAAGTCAAGGTTATGGCCATGATGGTGTGGTTGAATTCTGCCTATTGCAGAACACATATAAAAAAGCAGAGCTTTGATCATACTGTTGCATCTACCACGATCTTGATAGTTTTGACCATATCCTGTGGACACCGCTGTAATCATCTGTTTTTCCTGCAGAATAAAGAGGCCAAGAAAAGCCTTGAAAAAGCAAAGGGAAAGTCTCCTTGGAACCAAGCTCATCTGGTGCCTTCACAGGCAGGTCCACATAGTTTTCTCAGCAACAATACAGAAATGATTTGCTTCTACCGCCTTCTGGGACCTTTTGAGATTTCCCAGTATAGTCTATAGTGGTAGGATTTCCCAGTGCGCTCCTATCCAAGCGTCAACCAGCTCAACCCCTACTTTTTGGAGTTCAGTCAATGTCGGTTAGGTGCTGCCAGTTACAGGGCCTGAAAAAGTAGAGAACGATTACTATTCTGAATACTTAAGTCTTACTGTCCTGATTTCTGCAGATCTAACTTCATTGTATTGCTGTTTTGACAAGTCCAATGAAAAAGAATCAAAGACTTTTCTGCTGTTATTTTTTAATTTATTAGATCTACCTCCATTTCTTCTTCTGCAATCAACGACTACAGCAACAGAGTACAACAGGACTAAGTTACAGACAAAAAACCCATATAGGCACTTGCAGACCCCATTCCCCCACCCTGCTCCTGCTAATCCAAGTATTTGGTCCTTACAACTTGCTCTCTGTGTATACTGTGTTCGATTAAGCTCTTCCGAACCACCTCAGTGCTAGTGGAATCTGGGTTTCCCTCCATGGAGGCACCATGCAATTCTGCCACATGGTCAGACTTCAGTGAAAGGCTGGGGGAAGGTGCAAATACAAAGGGTGTGTGTTCTTTCTCTTGCTCCTCTTCCACTCCATTGGTAGCTGCTCCATTTATGGTGATTTTTCCATCGACCTGCATTTTAAAACAAGAACACATTGACTAAGGATTTGAGGCAATCTTTTATGAGTTCTAATCAGAAAGAAAATGGGATGTGGTTTGTGACAGCAGTATCTTGTTTCAGAGTTATCAGGACTCCTCTCAATATTCGGACTACAAAATTGCTCATCTGTATATAAGCCTAATTCTCTTTCTTCATATGCAATTACCGTTGCCTCTGCCTGGGTTTATACAATGTGCTAAGTTTTAAATTATGTATTGTCGAAGGCTTTCACGGCCGGCATACGATGGCTGGTGTGGGTCTTCCGGGCTGTGTGGCCGTGGTCTTGAAGTCTTGTTT